TTCGTTATATTATGATGATTTAAAAAGACAGCCATGGTTACAAATATTTTTTTTTATTTTATAACTAGCGATATGTCAATTTAAATAATCTCTACTATTCCGATATTTTGGCCTGACGTTTCTTGGTCAATACTTGGTATTTTATCCATGTTTTTAGATTCGGTGGGATCTTGTTTGTAAAATATTAAAACTGCTCTGGGAGCGGCAATGTCACTTTGCGCTCGAATTACACACAGGTTTTTTTCCACAACCGGTGTTTCGCTCGCTCCTCGGAAAAGTGCAACTTTGCGCTTTTTTAATTTAATTTGGGCATGTACCTGACTTCGTTTTTAAAAACTAGTATAAACTAGTAGCACTAGTTTTTTTACGAGTTAAATAATAATAATATTTACTTAATAAAATTTACTAAAACTTAAAGTAAGTATTGAATTGTAAATTGTTGTATCATAAGCCCCAACTACAAATATAGTATTTTGGCCAAACCTGATTTTATACATATATTATTCCCGGCGCATTCGCCATTTTTGAAACCATTGGTATTGCATAAAATAATATAGTCGCGGCCAAATCTGTATGGGTGCACGTCATCAACGGCATATGACGTCAGCGTTAAGGTCTATTCATACGTGCCCAGACACAATCTAACGCTCGTGTATTGTTGACTGTTTATAGCGGTGGGGGCTGTTATTAAGATGGAATTATAACGTCCTTGTATAATCTTCTGCACTAACTAATTAGGAGTTTGTTACAGGCAAATTTTTATTAAATGTGTTTAAAGAGAAAACAAACGGAGTTTATTACATTTTTATTACATATGCACATAACAAAAAAATACTAAATTACCAGTCGTCCTTGTCATCAGAGCAAACCAGGTCAGAATTGAAGTCTGATTATTTCCCCAAATTTATTATTAAGAGCGCAATGTCTTCGAAATCTAATAACGGCTAGTTGCCAAAAGGCCTTATATCATTGTTTGCACAATCCAGGGATTGAATCTTATAAACATAATGTATAATATTATTATAATAATTTGCAACAAACGATGCTTACGGACGAAATGTCACAATTACAAAAATACGTCAAATATAAAATTACAGCGACCCATCAATAATATTGAACGGTGCGCGCCAGCCTTAAGCTATTACCAACTGGCACACACAAAAATTACTAAGTGAATGGTTTTATTTTGATAATTTTGTGAAAAAACGTTTTAAAACAAGGAAATTATTACAGTTCTTGGTAAACAATACGCAAATGAATGATTTCTTTTTAATAACATATCAGAATTACGCCTTAAAAAAGCAAATTTAACGGCAGTAACTTTACAATTCAAAGTTGGTAATGCTGACGTCATTATATCTCATTGATGACGTGCACCCATATAGATTTGGCCGTGACTATAGAATATATCGTCGTTTATCTGACAAAGAGGCGTATCTCATTTTTAAACAAAACGGTGAGAATTGAATTACGCCAGTTTGTACGGCACACAAAATGCAAAAATATTAGTTACACCGAAACTGATTTATGCTAAAACTTTATTTGTACCTATTTATTATAGAGCTACGCCAGTTTGTGAGATTATAAAGTCGATTTTGGTGATCATTCTGGTATAACTCAAAAACGATTTTTTTTGAGTTACGCCTCTTTGTCAGATAAACGACGATATATATTATTTATATATGTGTTTTCTTTCATTATATTATGGGGATTTAAAAATACAGTCATGGTCAGAAATATACTTTTTTATTTTTATAACTAGGGATATTCCAATTTAAATAATATCTGCTCCGATATTTTCGTCTGACGTTTTTTGTACTTGGTATTTTTTATAAATTTTATCCATGTTTTTAGATACGGTGGGATCGACTTTGTAAAATATTAAAACTGCTTCATGTGCCTTTAGGGTACACTTTTATATTTTCTTCTCTTTTTCAAAGATTCAAGAATTTTTTCATAATAAGGCCCTTTTAAATCGTTAAATAAACACATTTATCCACTCCTATTGCATAATTTTTGAGTTTTTCCGTGAATATTGATAAACATTATAAATTTTCTGCCTAACAACTTTAATAATAAACTCATTATTTACGTTGTTGGGCATCAGTGATTGACCAATTTCCATATTCACTTTGATTCCAACCAATCAGGTTTTAAATTGGAAGGCGATTATAATACCATTTAAAATTGTTAAAAAGTAAGGTTAACCATTTGACAGATGTTAGATTTTATTATTATTTACTCGGATGATTACAATAAGACAGTATGAGAAAATTTCAAAATCCAGACAAAAAAGAATCAGGGACAAGGTCTGAATCAAAAGAATCAGAAGTTTAAGTTTATTGAAGGATGCCTATTAGGGTGGAGTGAATTTTATTAAATTTATTAATTGATTTTTCCTATATTATTAATTGTTGACTAAAGGCGTAAAATGAATAAATATCGAAAAAATATTCCAATTTTTTAATATCTTGAGGTGGCGCATCTGTCTCGAAGTTTTGAAAATTCTAAAAAAATATTACTTTAATCAAAGTAATAAAAATAGCATTATTTATAAATAAAAAGTTTATTTTAGTAAAATTAACGTGAAACGTAAACATATTTAATAGTAAATCATATGCTTTAAGTAACTTCAGGAGTGTTTATTGGTAGAAATGAGATCTTCTTTTTCGCGAAAATACTGACATTTGGTATCAAAATTTGGTAATTATTTTCTGACTTTAATTCTTGTTCTGATGAAACCATTTCTTGCTTCCGATCCACAAACCGAGACTGAAGATTCAGTATACTGGTTATAACCAGTTTTACACAGCGTTCCACTGCTTGGGTGTGACACTGAAATTTTTGGAAGTGTAGGAAATGGTCACCCGAAGAAATCATATCGGTAATTTCTGTCATCGTATTTCATAGTCATTGGTGGTTCAGTCACCTTTTCTGTCGCCCAGTGAATTAACTGGTACAAACGTAATGCTTCAGTATTTAGTTGTGAAAGCTTTAATTCCCGTAATCTCGAACATTTTGATTCTTTTCTCGCCTTTAATATTTTCGGCAATACTAGTTCTCTGATCGATAGATATATTGTAGGTAACATAGCAAGTAATAGGTTTTCGGGATAAATATTTCGCTGAATATTCTTTATAACTATAGATATAAGGCCTTCAAGTTTTTCTGGAGGTGTAATGCTCTTTTAGTCAAATTAAATATGTGAATAGGACCATGTTTGCACGTAGGCTTGCTGTTGATGTAAAACCACGTTGGGGCATACACTTTCATGATAAAAGTAGCCAATTCTTTTAGGTTTTCCGATGGATTTGCTGTCCCCCCATATAAACGAATAATCCTATTAGCCCACGTCAGCCATAGGGAATGTGCTAGCTTGCCTGGATCTTTGTAAGCTATAGCTAATATTTATCCCGAAAACCTATTACTAGCTATGTTACCTACAATATATCTATCGATCAGAGAACTAGCATTGCCGAAAATATTAAAGGCGAGAAAAGAATCAAAATGTTCGAGATTACGGGAATTAAAGCTTCCACAACTAAATACTGAAGCATTACATTTTTACGAGTTAATTCACTGGGCGACAGAAAAGGTAACTGAACCACCTATGACTATGAAATACGATGACAGAAATTACCGATATGATTTCTTCGGGTGACCATTTCCTATACTTCCAAAAATTTCCGTATCACACCCAAGCAGTGGAACGCTGTGTAAAACTGGTTATAACCAGTATACTGAATCTTCAGTCTCGGTTTGTGGATCGGAAGCAAGAGATGGTTTCATCAGAACAAGAATTAAAGTCAGAAAATAATTACCAAATTTTTATACCAAATGTCAGTATTTTCGCGAAAAAGAAGATCTCATTTCTACCAATAAACACTCCTGAAGTTACTTAAAGCATATGATTTACTATTAAATATGTTTACGTTTCACGTTAAATTTACTAAAATAAACTTTTTATGTATAAATAATGCTATTTTTATTACTTTGATTAAAGTAATATTTTTTTAGAATTTTCAAAACTTCGAGACTGATGCGCCACCTCAAGATATTAAAAAATTGGAATATTTTTTCGATATTTATTCATTTTACGCCTTTAGTCAACAATTAATAATATAGGAAAAATCAATTAATAAATTTAATAAAATTCACTCCACCCTAATGCCTATTGATCTTCTACATAAGGACAGGGAAAAAATTACCGAATAGCTTGACTTTGGTTTAAAGCATCTTTAAATAGGTAGGTATAGGAAATTTATTTTAATCGATATTGCTTTAAATATTAATTAAATGAGTACAAACTTTTTATATTAAGGTTCAAGGTTAAAGAAGAGTTGTATGGGTTATATAATTTAAAAAATATTTAGACAAATGTTATTAATAATTGAAATTGTGTTATGAAAGAATCGGTTATATAAGAGGAATGTTTTAATAGTATTGTAGTAAATATGTAAACTTAATTCCGTTGCTTACACTTTTATTTTGTTATAAGCAGATACGATATCCAAAAGAACAGCTGATCAATATATATATATATATATATATATATATATATATATATAGGTACTTAAAATAGATCTGCCGGAAAAATTATTCAAATAGATTTCTGAATCGATAATATGTTAATTTTATGGTTTTGCAAAGAAGCAACAGAGACTTTTCAGATAGGTTAAAATTATATAACTTTTAAGATGTTGTTTCATTGTTAATTGGTATTAAAAAAGATGTTAGGAGCCAGTTGAAATCATGTGTTATGTAACAAAGATGTGCGGCGTTATAAAGGTGTAGAGTATGCACACAGCATCGCCGCGGCGCGCCGTGGCAGATGGCGATGAGTCACGTCATCCGCGCGGTTGTGCTCTGCCTACGGAAGACCCGGGACTTGTCGGTGTTAAAGTTGTTAGACTTACTGATTGTGGTTGAAATGGTGCACATATCCACCGGGTCCTGACACCCGGCGATGGAGGCTCCTGACAGACATAGGTCCGGGTTTACTAGCATCTCCCCGCGATCACCACTGCCGGCTCACTTCCGAACATATTACGCGGGGTTCTTGGTGCGACCCCGTTTAGGCGCTGACTGTCGCTCGGTAGAGGATGTCCCGAAGACGTGGCACCGTAAAGCGCATGCCCGCCCTCTTCGCGGCCACCCTTTGCACGCCGGCTCTCCTTTGATTGCCCGTAGGTGAGACCCTTCGCGGAAGACTTCCACCAGGTCCATTGCTCACTTTATTTTCACTTATCGTTTATGTTTTTAGAGTTTGACAAAAAATAACTATAATTGAGTAATTAATTTTAAAATATTAACCTTTTATGAAACTGTGTTACTTTGAATAAATTAATGATGACTATTATTAATATAATCCTAGAATTCATGGAATGCTTTTTTGGAATATAGGCTTACTTTTATTCATTATTATCTTATTTTAGTTTTTGTGGCAGCATGTACGGAATTTATTTTGTTAGGGTATACAGGTCAATTTTAAAAATCAGCCGAAACAGGCTACTAACACTTTTTCATGATTTTAATGTTATATTTTAACTTAATAATATTTTTATGCTGTAGTACAATATTTTTTTTTTAATTTACACACTTTGGTAAATATGTTTTTGATTTTCTATTAAAAACGAGGTCATATTTTCCGTTTAGGCGAATTTATCATTTTGATGCAGTTTTTTTAATATAAATTAAAGATCATCTATAAAACAATAGAGTAACCAACTTGGGAAGCCTAAAATTTTAAATTTGTATGTGTAAATCGGAATATATCCCTTGAAAATGGAGCGTAACAAAATGTTTTATTGGCACTTCACGGTGGAGTCTTCACCCGAAATTAAGTTAAATCCAGTTTTCTGCCGGCGAAATTAAAAAGTCAGTACAATGTTCATAATACAAACATTGTCTTTTTAATTTTTTAATTATATATATATATATATATATATATATATATATATACAGGGTGTCCCACAATTAGTGCGACAAAATGAAGGTGTATTATCTAATGACCCCCAGGAACTCCAGAAAATTGTTTAAAAAATTCTTTCTTCATTATTTAATAAGATACAGGGGAGTCATATTTTCTTTATATGGCAACATTGCCTCATAACAAAGTAATAGTTTAATTCTTAATCATCATGACAACAAACAATAATGTTAGAAAATGCCAAATTTTAATGTCAAAATTTGTTACTTTAAGTTATAGGTTATTTATTTTACGTCAGACAGGGACTCCCTGTATTTTTTTCTATCCAGTCTGACGTAAAATAAATAACCTATAACTTAAAGTAACAAATTTTGACATTTTCTAACATTGTTGTTTGTTGTCATGATGATTAAGAATTAAACTATTACTTTGTTATGTATCTTATTAAATAATGAAAAAAGAATTTTTGAAACAATTTTCTGGAATTCCTGGGGGTCTTTAGATAATATACCTTCATTTTGTCGCACTAATTGTGGGACACCCTGTATATATATATATATATATATATTAGGGTGCTTCAAAAAAATTTTTTTTCGCTCTTACCCTCTCAAATGTTTTTATTTAATATAAAAAAAATCCTCACCAAATATGGGCGTTCCAGCTCAACTCTAAGAGGTCGCTGTTTTTATTTTAGTTTCCCATTGAATTAACATGGGAAAAAATTAATTTATGTTTGGAATTTTATACCTTTGTATCAAAGTAACTTATGGCAATGATCATTACAGTTTCTTATATAAAATTTAACGCTCTACAAAAAAGGCCTCCTATTATTTTTCGATAAATTGATTTCTTCTAGAGTTATTCGAGGTCAAAGTTTGATTAACATCAAATTTTCTGGTACAATTAGCAGATGGGAGGTGAAAGGGGGAAAACTTTGACCTTGAATAACTCTAGAAGAAATCAATTTATCGAAAAATAATAAGAAACCTTTTTTGTAGAGCGTTAAATTTTATATAATAAACTGCAATGATCATTGCCATAAGTTACTTTGATACAGAGGTATAAAATTCCAAACATAAATTAATTTTTTCCCATGTTAATTCAATGGGAAACTAAAATAAAAACAGCGACCTCTTAGAGTTGGGCTGGAACCCCCATATTTGGTGAGGATTTTTTTTTATATTAAATAAAAACATTTGAGAGGGTAAGAGCGAAAAAAATTTTTTTTTGAAGCACCCCAATATATATATATATATGTGATATGATTTTATATAAAAAATAATATAAATATGGCATATTATATATTTTTGTATTTTTTTGAAAATATTTGAAATTTTTTATTAGTGTTATTTTTGATCGCTGATATCTTTGAAACGGTTAATCTGAAGAACTTTGACCTTGAGATGTTTTTGTAGAGCGTGAAATTGTCTATAACTCCTCTCGCTAGGGTGTTGCGAAAACAAACCATTCCAAAGTTATAAGAATTCGAAATTAAAAAAATTAAAATTCCCGTGTTATTGACATACATTGACAAACAACAAATGAATTGAGGCAAACCTTAATATTCTCTGTACAATCTTTATTAATTGTGCTATTTTAACCGGATTTGTTTTAAAGTGTAGATCTTGTTAAACTGTATTTTTTAAGGAAAAAACGCCATATTTTTACAAAATACAAGGCATACTATGTCTTTTTAAGAATTCATATTAGCGATTTTTTTAAACAAAATCTAAGCACGGCGCTGGATTCACCACCCCTCAAAACAACCCTATACTAGATTTTATTGAAAAATTTTAAGAAAAAAATGCACAATAAATAACTACACAAATTTATTTTGTCAAGTTATCCATGAAAAAAACATTGAAATAAAATTAAACTAATATTTTACTTATATATTACTAAGTTTAATTTTATTTCAATGTTTTTTTTTTCATGGATAACTGGACAGAATAAATGTTTGTAGTTATAATTGTGCATTTTTCTACTTAAAATTTTTCATTAAAGATTAGTAAAGGGTCGTTTTAAGGGGTGGTGAATCTAGTGCCGTAACGTATAATTCGTAGAACCTAATGATTTTGTTGTTATATTTAGTATTACCATGGTATATGCATATATATTAATTAAAATTAGCGTTTTTGTCATTAACCTGTCATAAAATGACCGTAGAAAAATGATTTATGTTTTATGTTTAAATATTACTCTTATATATTTTTGGCTTTATTCGCAATGATAATCCCAAACTAAACTGCTCGTCATAAAAATTGACGCACCTAGTTTTTTGGAAAATATTTGAAAGCTCGTTATTGGAAAATTACTGAATCGATTTTGAAAATCTTTGGAAATTCTGAATAGCTGATTCTTTGACTCTTATGTCTAATTTTGGGGAAAACGATATTTTGCACATAGCATTATACTACAGGGTGTTAAACGAAGAGATGTATTTTTTCCGAAATTTCAAGTTATTCCCATTCATGAGGCAGTTGAGTTTGATAGTCGTAATACCCCTCCCTAATATTAGTAAGGTAATCCCTCGAAACGTTTTCGAGATTTTGTGAATATCGCGGCTTACTACGATATTATATGCCAATTTATCGAAAATTGTCATTATTTCCCAGTTTAGTCCAAAAAATGAGCAATAGTGGGTTCTTTGATCTACGTCCAATTTTAAGAATACGATATTGTGCACATAGCATTATACTACAGGGTGTTGAAAAAACAGATGTTTTTTTCCAAAATTCCAAATCCCCATTCACAGGGTAGTTGAACTTGATAGTCGTAATACCCCTTCCCAATAACAGTTAGGTTATCCCTCGGGACGTTTTTGAGATTTTGTGGATATCTTGGCTAACTACGATTATATGGCAATTTTTCGAAAATTCACGTTATTCTTCATTTTAGTCCAAAAAATGAGTAATAGTTGATTCTTTGACTCTTATGTCTAATTTTGGAAATACGATATTGTGCACTTAGCATGATACTACAGGGTGTTAAAAAAAGAGATGTTTTTTTTCCAAAATTTCAAATCCCCATTCACAGGGCAGTTGAGCTTGATAGTCCTAATACCCCTTCCTAATAACAGTTAGGTAATCCCTCGGGATGTTTTTGAGATTTTGTGGATATCTTAGCTAACTACTCTTTTTTTAACACCCTGTATGCTATGTGTACAATATCGTATTCTCAAAATTAGACGTTAGTCAAAGAATCCACTATTGCTCATTTTTTGGACTAAACTGGGAAATAATGACAATTTTCGATAAATTGGCATATAATCGTAGTAAGCCGCGAAATTCACAAAATCTCGAAAATGTTCCGAGGGATTCCCTTACTTATATTAGGGAGGGGTATTACGACTATCAAACTTAACTGCCTCATGAATGGGAATAACTTGAAATTTCGGAAAAAATACATGTCTTCGTTTAGCACCCTGTAGTATAATGCTATGTGCAAAATATCGTATTCCCAAAATTAAACATAAGAGTCAAAGAATCAGCTATTTAGAATTTCCAAAGATTTTCTAAATCCATTCAGTAATTTTTCAATAACGAGCTTTCAAATATTTTCCAAAAAAGTAGGTGCGTCGATTTTTATGACGAGCAGTTTAGTTCGGACTTTCTAGGCATGTTGTATTTATATCTAGGGTGACCAAAAATGGCCCACTAACGTGTACCACGCAGTGTTACCAGATTCTGTTTTGTTTTAATATTTTTTCTGCTACTAGCGTCATTTTCCTGTTGTGTATATTTGCAAATATTGCCCTAATAAATCCAAAATTCAATTAAGTGTATGGATTTAGTCGTTTTAAGGTAAATTTCACTTACATGGATATTAAAACTTTATGAAATACGACAAAAAATATAATAAAATTTCTGTACTCCTTTTTGGCCGATTATTAAATATTGTATTTAAGAAGATGATTTATAGGGTTAAAAAGCATCAAGCTTTGTTGACTAGTGTTCTATAAACTAAATGAAACCAAGTGGTTTAATTTGGCTAAAGAAAAAAAATTTTACAGCCTATTCTTGTTTTATATGATTATAATAAATGGGTCAGAATTTATAGGGTTAAAAAGCATCAAGCATTGTTGACTAGTGTTCTATAAACTAAATGAAACCAAGTGGTTTAATTTGGCTAAAGAAAAAAATGTTTACAGCCTATTCTTCTTTTATATGATTATAATAAATGGGTCAGAATTCGTGAAATCAGCACAACATATTTTTGTTCGAAAAATTACATTGTGTGGCTAAATCTATAGCCTTTTATGACACAAATAGACCTTCCAAGCAGTTTTGCAAAAACAAA